GATAACTCGGCAATGTGAAGAGATATCGAGAAACGGTTTTCGCTGACTTATAGCCAAGTCCAGGGCACATAGAACTATGGCAGGAAAACAATTTTCATTGGATCTCCATGGGTTTTCCAGAAGGATCTTTGGCAAACCAGTCGGAATATCTGGAAACTGAGATAGGAATCTATCTATTTTTTTCTATAGATGGATAGTCCGATGTGTCTTCTCCAAAATGAGAACTAAGCGAACTCTTAATTTTTCCTGGTTCAGGTCTGGCATCGGATTTCCTGAGAGTCCTAAGATTGATGTCTCTTTAGATGTGGTAATTCCGAAAATGAATGGAAATAGATGTAATAAACCACGCTGAATTTCGTGGGAACATTTGCTTTTCAAATAAGCTTCAAAAACCTGGTGAAAACCTATATTAGTTGAAATAACGCAATTGTCCCTGTTTTTGAGTAAATTTAAAAAATTTATAACTCAGTCACAGTCCATCCAAATTATGTCAGAATATCAAGATATAATCTAATTTACCTGCTCAGTACGATTATTTAATGGAGAATAGTAAGAAATACTCTTGTAGAACGGAAGATTTCTAGAAAACCTTTTCAAAAATCGAAGTCTTTTCTGTTGATTTGTAAAGCTTTTATTGAACTGCATAGTATTGAACAGGTAAAATAGAGTACATATTGATATTCTGACATAATGTTGATGAACTGTGACTAGGTTATAAATCTTTTAATTTTACTCAACAGGGAAAATTGAGTTATTTCAACTAATATGGGTTTTCACTCGGTTGTTGCATTTTGTTCTGAAAACTAACATTGCCACGAGATTCAGCATAGCCGATAATCTATGTTTTCATTCATTTCTGACAGTCCCAAATCAGACGGCAGAGGAGTGCTAAGGCTTCAGGAAAATGTCCGTAGCTCCCGAACCACGGATTTCTAAGATGTCACTTAGATCTAGTTTTGTAGAGAACACTTCGGATTATATATCTATGAAAAAAGTATAATGTTAACTCCAATATTTATTTTGACACTGGCAAAACCTTTAGGGGGTTTCTAGAAAACTCGTAGAAAACCATAAGTTACTGAGATATAGTTTTGGCAACCTCGTACATTTGAAGTACATAGTTTAGCAAGTTCAAAACAAAAAACAAAATTTTAACTTTCCAGCTCTTGCTGCGAGAGAAGATCTCCAGAAAACCTTGTTTTTCAGCGAAAATGTATTTTCGGTTTATTTAACATATTATTTAGTAAGTTAGAACAGTATTTTATTATATTTATATAAGTGAATTATTATGCTTGCACGTATATCACTCGAAAAACTAGATATCTTTGAAACCATTTTTATAGAGTTGAAAAAAACAAAAACAGTTCTTCTCTTCCTCTCTCTTTTCAACTGTCTTTCGTCTTTCTAGGCAACTGCTATACATAATCGATGATTTTTTTTTCTGTATTTTTGAAAAAAATGTATTAAAATACTTTTTGTTGGCGTCAAATATGTTTATTTATATCTATTTACCTGTATGTCAACCATGAATCTATATTGATTTTTTGATCTATTAGTACATTCCTATAATATATTTTTATACCTGTTTGTTAAGTTTTGAATATGTCTGAATATTGAGTAAAATATTTAAAAAAATCGTGAATTGCATAATAATGCATAGTTTTAATCCGTTTCGTTCAAAATCACAACACTTCAAGAAAAATTCGCCTGATACCACAGTCGATAACAATAAACAGGCAGTGACTATATCGAGATTTGTTATTTATGAAAACAATGGAACTAGGATTAATCAACAAAACCCATATATATTGGATAATGAAAACAATGATCAAGAACAGGTAGCATTTAGAGTTAACTTAATAAAGAATTGTAAAGCGATAATGTTTTTAGTGAAGATTAAACCATTAAGCCCTTCATCTAAATCTAATTTGGCAGAGCAATTGGCCTCTTTTAGGTCAGACAGTATATTGCGTGCCGCTCCATATTTGGTTTTACTAGAAGAAAAAAAAATATGCAGTTTTAAAACGGACAGCACAGTTGATAGGAAGGGATGGTATTTATGGATGGGAGGGAGCAAATAGAAATTCGATGAAAAATGATCGAATTTGCGTTTTAGTTGTTTTATTTTACAAATGTATGCTTGAAAAATATTACTTTTATCTGATTGNTGATTGACTTTCATGAGTAGATATCGATCTGTTTAGGTCTACAATAATGAGAAAATCGTTGAGGGGAAGAAGAGTGAGTCGAACAAGTGAATAAAATTAGTGCACCAAGCACTGAAGCACATTCTCATACAATAAATGAAAATTGATAAATAAATCTCAAGCATACTAGGGCTATAGGTAGTAGATAAACACGTTCTAACGGATAGAAAATGCTAAATATATTCTGTTTGTACCAAAACTGAACTCTGTTTAAACCCCTTAGAACTCTTGTCTTCAACTTCGAAGGATTTTTGTTTCTACTAGGTAGAAGAGAAATCGAAACAGCTAGAATGGGATAATTTTGTACGTGCCACTGTATAAATTGATCTTTAAGTTAAGAAATTAAAAATATTCTGACATAAGATAAAACTGCAAGAATTGGGAAACACCTAGCTTATAAATAGATAGGACAAGAGATATAGATGTAAAGAGTTAGTTAAAAACTTTTATCCGTAACTATGGTGGTGGTTTTATGCCATCTTAATATAAATTTTTGTTTATAGATATCACTGAATAGTTGCGAATGTAATAGGACATATCAAGGACGATTATTGCCCCGTTCCTTGTAGTATGGATAGAATAAAGGACACTGTACAAGTTATTTTAGTTTGTAAACGAAAAGAAACAATTACAGTCCTTTAGAATTAATTACCAATGTTCAATATTATTTCTGGTTTAAATTATCCGCAAACTAAAACGAACAAAATTCTTATCGTGTTAGTAATAATCGATGATGTGAATATCTTTCGCTACTAATGGTAGTTTAAAAAAAGCAGATTACTATAAATAGCAAACATAAAGCAGTTACTATAAATATTCTCATTAAGATAATTGGAAATTCAAAAAATTTGGTAGCATGTTGAAAAGAACATACAGTTGAAATTCTACTCTTGTCTGTAATGAAATTGTTATTTCTAATGAAAGTCAAAGTGAAAGAAAACTGATATTACCATTAGATTCGGCATCATGCATAACCTCTAGGCTTTGACTTTTAAGTTGTAACCTCTTCGTTTAAGCACTTTTCTGTTATTTAGAATTCCTCTCATTAAATGGAAGAGCCATGTACAGGTATCTGTTTAAATGTATAGTACAGGTGATATTTCTTACTCCATTCCGTGGCACAGCTGGTTCGCAAGCCAAACATTCTTTTTTTTTCTTCCGTACAACATTATTTAATATCTTCAGAACTATCTTGAACTGAAAAAGAGGGAAAGTGAGAACTTTGGTCCATATAAAGAGTGGACTAACTAAATGATACAGGAATTGAGAAATTTTCTTTGTTTGAATCGTCTCTCATCTTTTCGCTTGACTGCCCAACTTCTTCTAAGTAGTAATGAATAAAATAATTGAAATCACAAATTATGCTCACAATATTGTGAGACTCGGAATTCGATACAACTTTTAAACGTTCTCAAAATAATAGTGAAATACACAGTCACTCTTTCACCCTGTTTACAGAGTTTCATTCAGTGTACTCAAAAATCTCGTTCCTCAAGGCTATCAGAGACCCATATATTGAACATTTCAATTGTGGACTCTTTACATAATCTAGAAAGAACAGGCAGAATTCCACAACTATAAGTGTCAAGTCAATCGTACTGTGCAGTCTGAAGTATTTTAAAAAAAGACAAAGGCATTTTTAATTTACACGACCCGTTATTCAGCTTTTATGTGTTTCAGTCGCTTACTCGGTTCAACTTTCATTTTTTGAATAGGCAATTTATCGCCGTTTTATGTTTATCATGGACGCCAATATTATCATGGAAATGGTAGTGACAATGGACAAGATGAAAATGATGATGACATAAATATCGAACAGGCAGTTTGTTTTGTAAAGTGCAGTAATATATTTTCAATAGGATTATGTTGATCTTGATGGAAATGTGAACGATGACGAAATCCAAAAACGATTACATAAAAGGAATGGAGTCTAAAACAAATGCCGAGCAAAAAATGCAAAAATATTATGGAAAACAACAAGAGATATATGAAAAAAATGCCGTATGCGTTAAATATGAAGTTGGATGTAATATGTTATTCCGTCACGATTTTTGTTGTTTTACGAGTGTCGTAGCGCTCGAACAAAAGGAAATTCAAGGACCGTTTACATCTAGTCTTGTAGAGAAAAGTGAGCTGAACAAAATGTGATATTTTCTGTTTCCGCAGAGTGTCGTGGTTCTCAAATATAATAAAAGTTTTACGAGTCCCGTTTTGGCGGACTTTTGATTGGGGCTCGTACAAATTTTGTTGTACTTGACGACCACCATATTCTGCGAAAACGGAAAATATCACATTTTGTTCAGCTCACTTTTCTCTATAAGACTAGATGTAAACAATTCCTTAGTTTCCTTTTGTTCGAACGCCAAGAGAGTCGCAAAACAACAAAAATCGTGACGGAATCACGCGTTACGTGGATAAGCCGCATGAATCTAATACTTGTCTTGAAGATTTCAATTAAGCAACATCCATTTTCTATGGAATCATAGCGAACTTTTGTCAGTCTGTAAAACTCTGATAGTATTTAATAAACTACCTGTCGCTCGCATTCGTGAACAACTGTTTGATTGGTTTTCATTCAAATAGATTTTAGATTTTTTTAATCACACATTTCTATCATAGAAACATTTGAACACACAAGAAAAAAAAATATAATGTGTATAATACGTAATACGTCTATGTACAAAAATGAGAGAGTAATTAACTCGAGAGAAGTAACAAAAAAAACACAGAAAGCAAAAAAATAAAAATAAACAGAAAAAATGCAGAACCGAATTTTATGACGATACGACTATTTTAATTTTTTGTTTGTGAGTTCATATGTATTCTCAAATGCCTATTCAAATTTCCCGATTGTGAAAAGCGTAGACGACATAATTCACCTAAAATATAAATACGAGAAAATCTAGCAAAAATGAAATTGGGTCAAATTAAGAAGTGTTTCTTACATTCATAAGGTTTTTCTCCACTATGAACACGTGTATGTTTCGTTAATGTTGAGCTATCACTAAATGCTTTTCGACAAAAACGACATCTGAAAGAAAACGAAAATTTCATTGCAAATTTTGACAGAAAAATACCAAAGTATGATGTCTTTCTCATTTCTCAAACATGTTAAATCTCGATATCAATATTTGTGGCGTTAAAACTACAGACCGTCTCTGTGGCTCTTAGAGAAGTCTATTACTTACTGATACGGTCTTTCGCCCGAATGTGTTCTCATGTGTGTTGTAACAGATGAACTTTGAGAAAATTTCCGATGGCATATATCACATGAAAATGGTTTTTCACCAGAATGTGTTCTTAAATGTGCGGTAAGATTTGCTGCTTGCGTGAACGCCTTGGAACATTTATCGCATTTGTACGGCTTTTCCCCCTAAAACAATAAAGTTAGACGTAGTTGAAATGATTTATAGTGAAATACATACACTTACCGAATGTGTTCTCATGTGTGTTTTTAATGTGCTTGGTCTTGCGTATATTTTTCCACAAATTCGACACCGATTTATTCGACCTTCTGTTACTTTATTTGATTTTTGATGAGACAACCATGATCTGCAAAATAAAGGACAGCTTATTAAAACATTTTTCACCAAAAGAAAATATTAATTTACCCTCGCTTCTCTGATGTCGGAAACAAATCGCAAAGTTTTGAAATATCTTTGTAATCATAGCCAGCTCCAACCGAAGATAGAAACATTTGTTTTGTAGCATCTGCAGCTGATTGCTGTAATAATGGATGTTTGACATCGGCTCCATGATGATGATGGTGGTGTCTATAAAATTGATCATATTGCAAACTTGGCGTACTGGGGTTTGTAAAACCAAAACTACTTGGATAACTGGTATATTGAACACTGTGTGAGTTGAAATTCATTGAAACATTGACATTCATTGGTGTTGGTAGCGTTATTGCAGTTGTAGGAGATATTGATGATTGAGGAGGTTCGGGTTTGATTAATGAATGATGCGCATAAGATGGATAATTGTAATGATGTTGAGAGAGAGGATCGAGTGGATCTGATGTTGTTGAATAACATGATGCAGATGATGGAACAGTTGATGATGAATTATCGTAATGTGTATGATGATGACCGGTTGGATCGTAAAATGTTGGAGGTAACATTCTCAGTGAATCGTGTAAATCTGTAAATGATTGTTGATCGCGATCTCGCCATGGTGAAATGAAACTCCTGAAATCAGAATCATATACACATTATCTCTTCATCAAAAGTAAATTAGTGACACATTTCATAATGAAAAGATTACTAGCACGTGCCGACAGACAAAAAGATGAATAAGTAGATAATGATAAAAAATTAAAAGATTAATTAAATTCTTATCTCAAATTAGTTATTTCGAAATATTAGAAAGAAACTATGATGGTTTAAAAATACGTTCATATATTTTACTCAGATGAAAAGATACTCAACGAAAATGGATAATATTGTTCCATTCATTACTAATTATGTCAACTTAAATTAACTTATCAAATTAACATTTTACGATTTGATTAAGTATTTGAAATGCTGCTGTAGGTACAAATATGTAAATGTTCAAGTATACAAAAAGAAAAAAACGCCACTTCTACGTACAGGTGTGCTAAATTTTACCACAACTCTTTACAAATATGCTATGGTTAATTTTCTCTATAACGGTGAAAAGGTTTCATCTAGATATTCGATATCTTCTTGTCAAAATCAAAAAAAACAACAAAAATTCATAAAAATTATACCCAGTATGATGATGATTAAATAAATCTTGTTGCATTGTTTCACGCCACGGTTGTGATGATGGATAATGGTCATTATTTTCAATATGCATATTATTATCTCTTGTATTATTATTATTATTATTATTACTATTATTATTATAATTATTTATCAGATGTTTTAAATTTTCAGACATTTTGTCTTATACTGAAAAGGATGACTTAATTGTGTTGAGAGGAGAAGAAATATTATTGTTATTATTATTACATAAAACTTCTAATTAGAATTGTGTATTTGTCCACTGTATACAGCTTTTCTTTTCACGAAGAAACCTTTTTACCGAAATATATGTGCATAATCACAAGAGTAGAGAGAAAAAGAAAAAATTTAGATTGTGCATGAGAGAAAAAAAAAGCTCTTCTCTTATCTCTCTATACTAGAAACAAACTTACTAATATAATAAGCTATTAAATGATTGACTAGTAACGAGAAAGAAAGAAAGAGAAAGAAAGAATGAGAAAAGAAAATATATGTATTTTTAATGATGTTGTTCGACACCAGTTAAACAACGTCATTATTGTTTTTTTCTTCTTTTCTCAGCCATCAAACATAATGTCCGATATATTATTTGCTTTTTTATAATTTTCTAATTGGTTAAATGAAAAAAAGTATATATTTCTTCAGACGAATCAAATTTTTTTGCGTGAAATGAAACTGAGCACATGAGTGAATATTTTATATTAGAATAGAAAAAAAAACTTTTTCCGAATAAAATCTCTTTTTAGCATGATGATTGAGTGTAGAAAACTTATTATAAAATAACGACGCAAATCTACGGTTTCTTTTTTCTTCATATTGGGGGTACGTAGAGCAATATAGTAATCAGACTAGTGTCTGTTGTTGGCATTTTTGTTTTGCAGGACGTTCAAATTGAGAGAGTAATTTTGATAAAATATTGCGGACATTCGAAACTAAATCATTCGAAATTTGGAGTATTCTTCCATATGTCTTTTATTTTCAGCTGTAGTATACTGAAAGTCTCAAAAATAATAACAACTTTTTATAATTATTTTTAGGTCAGCATTAAATTTTAAACACATATCGCAAAGAGAAGCACAATAAAACCGGTGTCTTCTCTCTATCTAGACTAAAAATTTTACAAAAAATGAAAAAGTATTCTCTGTCTTATTCATGATTCAAACGCGTCTGGCTTCATCATAAAATCATCTTGTTTAAGATGTGAGTAGTTTTTCAATAAAAGAAAATAAAAATAAATTCTACGACACTGAATGCAAACAATAAAAAAATTTTGCATCAGACAAATGGAAAATTTATTTTTTAATTGTATAATTTCTACAACTGATTTTCCTCTAATTTGTGGAAGTTATACAAAAAAGAAACTATTTCAAATAAATAAACAACAAATTTTTTTGATGAACATGCAACGTTTTTCTTTCTAAAAAGAAACCTTTTCAATAAACTAACTAGATTGTTTTTCATTTGTACAATAATAAAAAAAAAAGAAGAAAATGTCAGTAGTATAAATAAATTTAAAATTGATCATATTCTGTTACCTTTTACAATAAAAATTCTATGGTTTTCAGAAAAACAGTTCAAAATAACCCAATTCTTGAAAAAACAACAGGTGAAGTTATAGTCAAAAATTTGGCTTAAATATGTCTAAGTTACATATGGATTACCGACACTATAGTGTGGTGCATTTATTGAAAATTGATTATTCATTTCTCATATATTATTTTATTCTTGATGTTTGAAGTAGAGTTCTTGATTTTTCTATTACATAGTAAATAAAACTTGATGATGATGTACAAATAGATGAATGAGAAAGAGAGAAAAGAAATTTTTATTATTTGTTATACATAATAAGAAAAAAAGAAATGATGAAAATTATGAAACAAGAAAAAAAACAATGACAGTATCGTGAGGGAAAAGGAGGAGTAAATAGTGAAGATATCAAAAAAGCTGATTATCATAAAATGATGTAACATTTTCATAGACATTTTTTACTAATGAGAGAGAAGGTGTAAATTAAAATGTTCAAAATACTATAGAAGAGTGTTACAAATAATTAAGTATGATCTCTTTCTAAATCAATTGGAGTTAATTTCGTACTCAACAAAAACAAAATTGGTTTGGCCAATGAAACATACACACTTACATAGAAGATTTTGAATTCTTTCTGTATTAAATAATCAAAATGATCCTGCAGATTAATTTTCAGTTAGTGTACACATTTCTCACCCATTAATAGTATATTTATGAGTATATTTGACAATAAAATGCATATGTATACAAATACATATCGTCTGCCTATACTTGATACACATATTGAAAGGAAGAGAGAGAGAGAGAGAAAGTATCTGTAGTTGTTTATATAGTTTACCGTTCATTTTTCTTCTTTTTTTAAAAGATTTTCTCTAACAGTAGTCGAAAAACAACAACGAAATGAACAGGGACACTTTAAACTTAGTTCCTATACCTATTGTAGAGTCAACACATTTGTAATAATGTTTGCTTATTGAAGAAGTCGTTATAAAAACATTTTTGACTTATTAGTTTACTAATTCTATATGCGTATAGAAAATGTATGAGTACTTGACCCGCCTCTTAATAATCAAACAAGTTTATCTATTGTAACTCCATGTATTTATCTGAAAACGAAATTTATTAATGGATTACGTCAAATAAGTAAGCAAGATAAACGTCGTCAGACAATATGGCACACATTGAATATCATATACAAATGATTCTCGAATTGCTCAAAAGTATAACAGCAAATAAAATAATATGAATAGACTCACTACTAACATATAGTGAGAGTCTACAAAGAAATGAATTCTCTGATTGGTACAATTCTCAACTATTTGATGTGATGAAGTAATCGATTGATTGTATATTTTATTCTTCATTAATTTTTCTATTTTTTCTATTATTTTAAGCTTCTGAATTGTGAATAAAAAAACTTTGATAAGCAGATAGATTATTGTCATTTCTATTCGGTATTAGTGATCTGTTTAGAAAAAAAAATCAATAAGATTTAGTTACACAAAATTTTTCCTTCTTTTTGAGACTGATTACGATTATTACACGTGTTTTATAATAGAAAAGATGTGCCGTTTTTCTCTTTTTTTGATTTCTTAATCTTTCTATCCATACAGTATACTACGTAGCTATATACACATAAATATACAGATATATATGTTCAAAGACAAATTCATTATACAACATCAATAAGTTAAATCAACCTTCATTAAACGATTTCAAATGATAACTATAGAGCTAATTAGAAACGATCAAATTACTTCAGTTCTACTCTGTTTAAGCAAATCAATCAGATAAATATCGTTTTAACAGCGAATACTGTCGAACAAATTGCCATTTCGCTTACAGAAATCCTATGTAGAAAATATAAGCGATGATGATATTTGTAACTCAAAAACAAAATGTCTATATAAGCAGTAGAGAAGCAGATAGGATGTCGGATAATAAGAGCAAAAAAATAAGATACTGACTTTTGTTCTATTGCTCATATCATCAGCTATTTAAGGGTAATAGTATGTTCACGAGAGAATTTAAAGGAGTGCGCATCCTCCACTATTTCAAGAATTTTCTTTTACACATTCTGGCTACCACTTTCTGTTCTTGGTCGCAGTCCTATTTAAAGATACTCTTGTCTTTTCTAATTGGTTATTACTTTGTTACCCTTATCAAGTTCACTTTGATACTTACTAGTCTGCCTTGCATCTGAAGGTACTTCTCCAGTTTTTTGTAATAATGAAAAGCACAACGATTGATTCTATAACGTTTTTGTTTATGAAAACGTCTTTAATTATATCCAATCTCCTTTCAATGTATATATCCACAAAAAAACACGAGAAAAAACTTTATATTTGAAAAAAATCGAAACTGAGGGTTTCATTTACCCTTCAAATGTATAAATAATATCAACGTCGTTGGTTCGATTTCTCATCATTTCCGAGGTTTCTCAAAAGATTAGACACAGCGAAGCCCATTTAAAGTTTTTACATTGTCTAATCGATACGTTCCGATAAGTTAAAAATTTTCTTATGTTTCTCTTTTTCTCTTTTTCTAACAAAAAAAAAAAAATAGTATTGACGGCAATAAAATCATCTTTTGACATTATTATCATATTAAATTTATAATTTTCAATAATCGTTTGTTTTTACTGCATAAAATAACATAATTTACCATTTTTTGTTAAATTTGTGAATAAAAGTTTTTTTCTTTTCACATTCTTTTCTATAAATCCGTGTAAGCTTGGTGTTTTTATTGAATTTTAGCACCATCCACACAATAAAATCGTGATTCTATCGTTCAAATCTGTTGTCATCTGGTGAACAGTTTCCAAAACGCTACTTTAATAATAGTACTTTGCATTTTTACAATCCTCGCAGAAATTGAAACTAAACAAATTGTTATCGTATCATAAAACATATCAAGTAATCTCATCATACAAGATGATGTTTTTTTAAAACCAAAAGAAAAATGCTATTCAATAAACTATTTGAACTTATTTTTTTCTCATTTTACACATCATGTTTTGATGATAATGACAAAAAAAGTTGAAAACAAACAGAATAATATGAATATTTTTTATTCTCCTTTTAATTTTATTTTTGTTTTATGGATGGTACTTGATTTTTAGTCAACATAGTTCAAACGACGAACGAAAGAGTACGTGCTTCTATGATGAAGATGATGATAATTCGGCTTCGTGCATGAGAACAAGTGTGGTGTTGTGTTGTGTTGTATATGTACATCAGTCTGTCGGCAATATAATAACTACGGGAGAAGAAAGAAAGAATAACAGAATTCATATTTCTTATCTTTACATACATCTATACAGTAATAGAGTATAGAATAATATAACAGAATAACAAGAAAAAGAGAAGAAGAAGAAAGAGACATTCAATTATACATTTAATTCCTTTTGGGTAAGGAGGTTGTTCTGTTCTGATAGTGGGACCGCAGATATTGAATTTGTAAAAACAAACAAAAAGTCATTATACTCTATTGTATGTGTGTGAATATGGGACATATTGCTTGTCAATAGACAAACGAAAAAAAAGAAGAAAGAACTGTACTATATATTCGCAATTATTAGCTATATTGGATAGATTTTATCAATTGTTCTGAATTGTTCCTGGTAAAAAC